AGTATGATCCTTGCACGAGTGCGTTTGCGTCTGGCGCGCCTGTGAAGAGCGCTTTCAGAAGAACGCACTATGGCTTCGCAGGAAAAAGGAAAAAGATGCGGGCTCAGCTATTCAGGCCACGCTTGGGTCTCGGGCAAACCCCAGAGCCGAGACGCCTATGGTCTTCCCAAAAAGTTTAAAGTTCATGAACTCAGGAAGTGAGTGATTTCCTTACGTTTCCCTGGGAGCTTTGGTGTCGCTAGGCCCAAAGAAGCTCGGTGATTCGGAGTCCTTTGAGGGAGGGTTGCAGAGGGTTCCGGGAGGTTTCAAGGGGACCTGAGCTTGTTAGAGGCTCGGAGCAACCCTGAAGGGCCGGGTTTAAAGCTTGTTCCAAGAAGCAGGGCTATCATGGACAGAAAGGTGTGCGTGTGTTTGTGTTTGTGTTTGTATTTGTGTTTGTGTCTGTGTCTGTGTCTGTGTCTGTGTCTGTGTCTGTGTCTGTGTTTGTATTTGTGTTTGTGTTTGTGTTTGTGTTTGTGTCTGTGTCTGTGTCTGTGTCTGTGTCTGTGTCTGTGTCTGTGTCTGTGTCTGTGTTTGTGTTTGTGTTTGTGTTTGTGTTTGTGTTTGTGTTTGTATTTGTGTTTGTGTCTGTGTCTGTGTCTGTGTCTGTGTGTATTTGTGTTTGTGTTTGTGTTTGTGTTTGTGTTTGTGTTTGTGTTTGTGTTTGTGTTTGTGTTTGTATCTGTGTTTGTGTCTGTGTCTGTGTCTGCGTCTGTGTTTGTGTTTGTGTTTGTGTGTGTGTGTGTGTGTTTGTGTTTGTGTTTGTGTTTGTGTTTGTGTGTATGTGTGTGTGTGTTTGTGTGTATGTGTGTGTTTGTGTGTGTGTGTCTGTGTGTCTGTGTGTCTGTGTGTGTGTGTGCGCCTGCGTACGTGTCATAGTCATCACGCCCTGTGTGGCTCGAAAAGCCGTACTTCACTTATACCCCTGCTGGCTGCCGCTTGATGAGACCTTGACTGGGAATGGCCACCTTGGGTGACACCAATCGACAACACTGTGCTAATTCAAATCACAGCCCCATCATCTCCATCACAAGAACCCTTCCAACTGGTGTGACAATCACCAATGCATCAAAGAGCATCCTTCTGGTCCTACTGACGCAAGTTGACCGTCCAAGTGCCTCTGAATCAGGTGGCACCGGAGCGGACGCACCTTACATATGTCGCCGTCTGATCACTGTCATGCAACATACATGTAGTATACAACTAATGATTCATGATCTATCGCACTCAAGGCTATCAACAAGTGTCAACTATCAACGTGTGAGCCTGCGGCACATGTAGCACTATCCCTCTTTCTACCAGAAGCTCATGCATAGTAAAACACATCACAGCTCCTGCATGACTGCATCAAATGCGCTTTCCCTCCCCACTTGCCCGAAGCATCCAGAAGTTTTACTAAAAGTGGATCACCAGTCTGAGCTTCTCTATAAGCAGCAACTAGAAACTTGCTGTCCAACAAGCCATTCACCAGCCCCAGTCATTATTCTGAGGAGGCCCACACCCAAAGCAGGTTGGGGGCTTGAGCCGATAAGACTTGAAAAATGCCGTGCAGCAAAGCAAACTGCAGACTCAGTCCAAAAGAAGCCAGCATGACGTACTATACTATGGTTCATAAGCCGGAAAAACAAAAGAACCAACAAAAAACACCTTCCAAGGTAAGACACCTTCATCATGAATGGGCAAGTTCTACCCTTTCCATCATTTGCGCAGAAATATGCGACATGCGATCCAGCAACTTGGCTCCTAAGATGTACCGTATACCACTTTTCCGAAAACCCGTGGACAGGACAAACCTTGAACTCTTTCTCTTGGAAATTGATTTTAAACCTAAACAAATCCTCGCTGGAGGGCCGGGTATCATGCTTGTTTTCCCTACCATCCCGAGAGTTGACTCACAGCATCTCTAGGACCCCGGAAGCTGTTGTTGTTTTTCCCATAGACTTCCAGGGAAACCATTCCGACCCAACCCTTTGAACCATATGTTGTTGAATACTTCACCTATCTCACTCTTGGCTTCCTTCGTACGGCGGCAATCCCCACCAGAGCTTGGCACTTCTCTACAGCCGTGCGACTAAGCCCAAGAGAAAATGCCCCCATGGGGGCGTTTGGTCGCATATTGCTTCAGTCATTTTTATGCGCCCCGATCCTTCCCAAAATGGGACACACCTCGGAAAAGAACCAGCCCAGGGTAAAAACGGGAATAGTTCTGGGCAAAGCACCTAGAAACAAACTCCAAGAAAGTATCCAGGATATCAACCAAATCGCCAGTTTGCGCCGGTGTTTGGCCAACTTTCTGGAGGTACATACATACATGTGTATAATATATATATATATTTATTGATACATATTAAATATTATAAATATATCTATGTATCCATCTGTATGTATGTCTGTCTGCCTGTCCGTCTGTCTAATCCAACCTAATCTAATCTTGCCTATGCATGTATCTACCATCGTCTAACTAATCTACTTTAGTTCGTTAATCAATTAATATGATTTCTGACTATATCTATCAATCTATCGGTCTATCTATTGATCAATATTCCGGGCCCTGAAAGGACCATGCGTAACCCATTTCGTGGCATCTTTTCAGTGGTTGCCCTCAATGGTCATCCCATGTAAAGGACCTTTTGATAAACCCCTTATGTATATATAACATGTCTATAAATAAGCAGAATGGTGCCATATTGATCGTTTCGGGCGCTCTGTCCTTTGGTGGCTCCGGGGTTCCGGGCGTGTCGGGGGGTGGAGGATCAAAGACGGCGCCCTCCTGCTCGTCCTCACCGTTCCCGACGCGGGGGGTTCCCACAGACGCTAAAGAGAGAAATCAGCTGGATGGCTTGGATTGGTCTGGATTGGCGCTTTGGTTTTGAAGGGTGGTTCCCATGCACCCTCAAGGAGGGGTTCACTTTTAAATCCAAACCAATCCAAACTACGACAAGATCTCACTTGCCCAGTTGGGACGCAGAAATACAAGGTGATCACGTTTCCTTTAACACCACGCGAAAAGGGGGTACCCTCAAAAGAGGCACACATGGCCCACCCAAATGCCACTCCTCTTGCCTGCAAGCACTCAGAGCACGCTAACATCCACATGCTGTACAACCCTGCGCCAAAAACGGGTGTTGGGTGTTGGTCCTTTGGTTAGAAAGGTCCCAATGCTGTACTCGGTCTACATTGTCACAAAAGTCCAAGCAAAAGCCGCTCACTTTCTGACCCACCCTAGGAGTGAGTGCACTGGTTCCGCTGGAATCAGATGGATCCAAAAGCAAAGATAGACCCACGGGCCTATTGGAATGCATCAAGGACACATTCAGGTGCTCAATGAAAAAGGCTTCCGGAATGACGAACAGGTGTGCGCACCATCCCAAAAAGACTCTGAACATAGGCTTCGTCTCAAAATAGGGGACCCCTTTTTGGACCCAACACTTTTTGGATGTGTTTGTGGCAAACCAAAAGCACATCACGCCTTCAACATGGCCCCTGTGTTGAGACCCATCCAAAGTCCCTCCTGCTCTTTGCCTTCAGTTTAGGTCGAACAGCTGCAGGCTCGGCTCCCATGAAATGTGGCCACTGACCAACAAATATCCGCTCTCACTCTTCACAGTCTACCCTGAAAAATTGAAGCATATGTTTGACGTTATCTTTCTTTGGGGGATCAATAAATGTGGTTTTCCCTTTAGCTTCCTTAACAAACAACCACTTTTAGGCCCTTCCACTTGCCAGGGTTCCATTCCTATTTTTGACCCACACCCATAAGACCTAATTTTGGAGAGCCCAGCGCCTCTCCCAGACTCTCGATCCAAATCCCCGCACCTTCGGGATCAAGGAGTGGAGCACGAAGACCTGCAACTTGGCCAGACTAGCTGTCTGCTCCCCTGCTAAAAGTTTAACTTTTAGCGGTTTAATGGACAATTCATTAGTTGGCAAAAAGTTAAAGTCCTAACATCCAAGCAGAATGCACCAAAGAATACACTCCCGCAGGTTAGCATGCACCCCAAAAACAACAAGAAGAAACACGTGTTTTTTTCCTGGGGTTCATGTTTATTTGCAATTGGAAGTACTTCCATTTTCTGATACGTCCCCTGGAGAAATAAACTACATGTCCAGTGCTAGATTCTCTTGAAACGACTACGAGGGAACATGATACGTATTATTAAGCAAATGGAAGAACACGTTCTTCGCTCATCATTTAACAACACAAACATGTGTTTTTAGAGTAAACCTGCAAACAAACTGGTTTTTAGAAAAAACAACTTCCTTTTTCTTGGTTTTGGGTGCCCCTGGGTCGAGGGACAAAATGTTGGCACGCCCAACGGACCAGCCAAGGTGCCCCGAAATGGGGCAAAGGACAAGACATCGGAGGTTGCGAGTTGCGAGTGTCCAGAAACGCCCTGAAGTCTGACAAACTCATGGGAACTCCGTATTATCTGGGCTGCCTTCAGATCCCCAGCTCAAAGTGACTAACTTTTAGTGGGTTAAATGGAAACTACCAACACTAGAAAGCTAAAAAGCTAAGGGGATGGCTGGGAGCCACCAAGTTATTAAAACCCCTGGTTGACTTTGAGAAATGGGTGTTTGTCCCCTTTTGGTGGGGGGTTCATCACCATTGGAGGAAACACCTCCTATCAATACTGTGGATGGATGGGATGGTTTCAAAATCCATTTCGCACCACCTTTCTGAAACCCTAGCTTCTGATTCGATTCGCCAACGTAAATACCGTAACAAACCGTGGGCTCAACCATGGTCACTCATTTCGCGGTGCGACTTCTGGATTTCGCACAAATCCTGTACTTAAGAAACCCTGGTTTCTGCTGACTCCCCTGCAAACTAGCAAACGTTATGGTTGCAACCGTGGTTTCCAAGGTGGCGACGAATGTCGCACCCATCCGTCGGACGCGGCCCCTTCGACCCCCAAAAAATCCTTCGGCCCCCGAGGGTCGAAGACTTCTCGCGGTGCCTTGAAGTGGCAGTCGTGCCGCTCCATGCCGGGCTGCCAGCTCATGTGCGCCTACGCGAGCTCGACTGTGACTTTTCCGGGTCAAATGGGTATGGGTCAAAATGAAACATCCAGAAGACCGCAGGTTTTGGTGCTTGGGTCCATTTGGCAGGGTTCCATTTTGGGTAATTACATAATTTTGACCTTAAATGGGTGCTCGAAAATCGGAATACCTACAGACCCTAGAAAAAGGGGTTGTGAACCCCTTATTCTTGGGTACTGACCCCATTTTTGAAGGGTCATGGAGACTCCAGGTCGGCCCAAAATGGAACTCTGCCAAAATCCCATAGCGAAACAGAAACCAGACATGAAATTCCCGAGGTCACCCCCCTCCGCCAATTCCACAGTCAATCAGAGCGTGGGGATTCCCATCCCCACGACCGATCCTATCCCCATGACCATATCTCATCGTTTTAGAAGGCCTCCCCGCCAAGACCCCCAATGCATGTCCAAGGGCAAAAACAGATTCGGCACTCTTTTTTTGGGAAGCTGATTTGGGCGTGCCTTTCTTAGAGATAGAACAGTTTTCTGCTTTGCTTTTCAGGGGACACCACAAGGAAAACCATCAGTTTTGGGTCCCGGTACCCCCCTACTTTGGTTGACCAACCCCAGTCCAAAGGAGCATGGCCCTCCAAAACAAATCAAGAGAAAAAGGTCATGGGTCTAAGCCACTAGGAGCACGGCCCTCCAAACAAAAAAGGCTCAGAAGAGAACCAGGTCCCCGATGGAGGTCTGAGCCACTGAAGTCCTCCGATTGCCTGCTTCTCGGAGTCTTCCAGGGGCATCAGGGTCCTCAGATCCGATGTTGCTCGGCTTGGTCGTCGCTTTATGTTGCCACATTTTTGGGATATGGGGTGCTCAAACTATGGCGGGTTCCCCGTGTTCCAAAGAACATGGGGCTTTTTCTCTTTGAATGCCTCAGACAGACATAGGAAACGGATAGCCCGGCTGTGTTTCGAGCATAGTCACTCAGCAGAGGTCCGAATCTACGATCCGCATGATCAAAGAATTGGTGCAATCCACTGAACTAGGGAAACACTGGTTGGGCTTGTCTCAATATAAGGGAACCCTTAAAATGGGTGATGTCCTTTCGGTTAGCACCCCAAAAAAGCACACCCACATCTGAGCCCTGGACAAAGTTGCATGTTTATCAATGCAGATTGGGTGGAGCGTCGCTTTTTGTGTCTGGCCCTGCGAAAACGGTCTCTTGCCAGCCCCTCTAAGCAGGCAGGAAGTATCCAAATCAATGTGTGTGTGTGTGTCTCAAAATCGGATTTGGACCCTGGAGATATGTCAGTTTCCTTTGGGCTTCCCTTTGAAACCACTCCGAAAAGGGGCTCGCACTCATGTGAAAGAAAAGGTTGGCGGATTGCGATCCTGAAGCCTTAGACACGACCGGGTCCCAGTAGATGTCTATGGGAGTCAGTCATTGGCACTCGTTTTTTGGTGGTTGATTCTAAAGGGCTCCCCCTCCCCGAAAAAAGAAAACGAAACATGAAAATGGACGAAACTCACCGGAGGTCTGGAAATATCTGAATTCAACGAGCTTCAAAACCAACACTAAACCAATAGAAAGCAATAGTTGCTAGGGACAAGTCATGGGACTGGAGAAACCTGGGAGCTCTCTCTGGCCATAACCAAAGCTTGGGCTCTGGGGGCCCGGGCTCCTGCAGATCGCTGATCTCCCCAATTCCCGGCAAGAAGATGAGGATGCCTCTCTCTTCAAACCCGCGTGAGTGTTTGGTGATCTTTGATGCTATGATGGAGAAACTGCGACCCTCAAACCACTTCTCCCAAAAAAGCGGTGAAGCTTGGTTGCGATCATTCAGTCTAAGATGCGGAAACTGCTACCCTCAAATCACTTCTTCCAAGGAGTTAAAAATCCCATGAGCAACTAGGGGTAGCGGAAACCACCATAGTTAATGAGTCCCGGACTCGAAATGGTGGACATGGCTGCTCATGTGCCCCGTGTCCCGTGCCGTTAAGTCTTTCCATATCCTCCCCAAATTATGTCCATGGCAACCTACTTACGTTGAACTGGGCGGATTGCACCAACCACCTTGGCCCGGCCAGGTGCGCGCTCGACCGGAAGACCAAGCCTGTCCATTGATTTTTTGGTTCTGGGGAACTAGCAGATTTGAGATCAGGATGCCGGATTCCCGGATGCTTGCTCACTTCTTTAGCTGAACGGTCTAACAAAAACACAAAACGTGCACTGTTTGAAACAAAACGGCCATTCTTGAAAGTGAACTGAGGAAGTAAAGGTGGATGTGAGAA